TTTGAGTAATCATCTCATTAGTTTATTTGTGTTAAAAACATCACAGTGATACGTGTACGGACTACTAAAAATAGACTGTTACAACCACGCATATATATGTACATAACTGGAGACAGTATTAAGTCATTTGTCCTTCCTATGTTCGTTACGAATTGAGTGCCTTTTACCAATCCAAAGCAGATCAGAGGAAAGATAATTCTGCTAGATTGTAAATAAATACTGCTAATTATCTGTGATGAAGAGTTTGCCTCCAACAAAATCTGTCACAATGAATGTGAGTAGTGTTCACTGTAAGTGTTAAAACTCATTACTCATTTACAATGTGCTCCCTGCATATTGCAAGTCACTTAATTTTAACTTCTAGGAATTTGTTGATTTAAAGGCAAAATAAATACCAGACTCATACACAGTGTATACATTTTAACATGGATTATTGATATACACATTCCTGTTCTTGTTAGTTTGTGTTAAGATGATTTGAGCAGTTATATGTATATTGATTTCATTGTCTTTATCTTAAGTTCCACAACATTATAACTAGAATAATAACATGTTTTCAATGGGCCGAATATCATAACAGAAATATAGGATTGAAGTTAAAATTGAGGAAATGTTACTTTAGGCTAGAATAAGTACTATAGAACATGTTGAAATAGCTGCATGCAATTTTAGCGGATTTGACTCTTGGCATGAATTAACAGAATCTTAATTTAGCTAAAGTGTCGACTATCTCCCTGTGAGAATATACTTTATGTTAAATTTGCTGCATCTTGAATTAGTGAAATTACAGATTAGCTAAAATAGCTAAAATAACATGCTAGCTAAAAAGACATGTTTTACAGTATTTTAACCCTGTGAATGCCATTATAAAAAAAACATTTTCCAAATTATGATTTCTTTTGCTAAGTTTGCTAAATCTTGATCAAAATTCTTTTGCTAACTTTGCTAAATCTTGATCAAAATTTCTGAAAAAAATTAACTTACAAAGCTGAAACCAATCTAACTTGAACACCAACTATGACACAAGGTGGATTGAACCTAGAAGCACACAGCTGCAATG